AACGAAATAACTCAATCAGCAATGGATCTAAAAATGTAGCAGATACGCGCCGATATTTAAACATCTGTTGCCTTTATCTGTTGCCGTCTCGATGGCCGCTCTAACGAGGCAAAAGCCGCGTGGAATCGCGATGAATTTCATCATTAAACGTGTGTACGCGTGTACTGATAGAAATTCCGATCGGGGAGAGGGACGGAAAGTAGAATATCGATGTTCGATCGAGATCGGTTCACGAACGCAATTCACCGATCTGTAACTGCCCGTTTGTTTGAACGGGCGACAAGGTGTACCCTTTTCGGGGGACAGACGGGGCCAGGTTGGAAAAAATTCGATCAATACCCCATAGAATACGCGGCCGGATCAGAAACGCACGGTTAATTATCCTCGGGTATGCGCGCGCGTTTTACCTGATTGTTCGGCTTTTTCCTTCTCCCCCCCCTTCCCTCCTTGCCCGAAGTAAACCTGTTTCCTTTCGCGGCCGGTTTTTGCTTTCGGTTTAAAGCACAATCAACGACGCGTAACGTGATTCTAAGATAAGAGCCGGTGCACCTCGTATCCTCGAGGGGGAAAAGACGATGGGGATAGAGGGAAAGGAAAGGGGAGAAAAGAAAGAAATAAATAAGTGAATAAAAAAAGAAATGGAAAAAAGATTGACGGCAGAGAAGAAGAGAGACGAAGAAGGAACGAGGAGGAGTTGCGCGATTCCAGGAGCTGTCATATTAGCGATATTAGATTGCCCCGGAAAAATTCCTCTCCTCGATTTCCCGAATCACGAAGAAAACAGTGTTGAATTGTTTTCGTAACGTTGTTCAGTTGATTCGGTAATTGGCACAGAGAATGAGAGTAAGAAGCGTGAGGTATGATGTGAAGTATACGAGATGTTGGAAGAAAAATATTTGACTAGAGATGATGAAAATGAAAAGAAAAGTAAAAAAAAAAAAAAAAAAAAAAAAATAGTTAAAAAATGGAATGAAATGCATATAGGTCAAAGACGAAAAACAAATTCTTATAGTGGGAAACAAAATTCGTATAAATATTCATTCGTTATCACGAACAAAGGTGTAAATTTACATGTAGTCGTGAAATGTATTGCTTGAAAATCAAATTAGATTAATTGCAGGTTTTCAGAAATATAATTGTAGGTTTATAAAATGAGATTTTCATGTAATCATTATCAGATCATGAACAATCAGCTCGTCAAGATCTCGAATGAATACCGGGTAATACGCGGTATAATAAACTCATTTATTTTTGTCGAGATCGTTTCCAATAACTCTTCAATTATTTTTTTTCTTTTTTTTATCAAACTTCTATCAATCAATTCATTCTTAATTATTATAATTTGGAAAAGATATATCTTCAGGAGCTGACGATATATTTTATTATACGAATTATATACCTGAAACATAAAAAGACAAAGCTAGCCAAGATAAATTTTTAAACTTTTGAATATTGAATTATTTGTAAAACGTTTTCTCTTACGCAATGTTTCAAACACGGCATTGGAGAAGCAACCAGTGATATTTTTTGCAATATATCATTGCTGCTCTTTGCACGATGAGACGATATTATTAGCTCGATGCGTTGATTTCCATAATTTTTTTCCCCCCTTACTTATCTCTTTGGCACTTATCATTGCAGTGGGCAAGGTAATGGCCAAAGAGGAGGCGGCTGGACCTGGAGGTGCCGTGGCAGCAGCCGCGGTCGCCGCCATGGAGAAGCACATTGCAATGCACAGCATTTACGCGATACCACCGAGTGCTGGTGCGATGCCTCCATCGCCGCAGACTCAACGACCCGGCGGTCTCAAGCACTCCAGTTCTCGGGAAGAGGCTGCACAGGAGGAACAGGACTATCTGTCGACACCTCACAGTAAATATTTCTTCTCTAAAAATTTATTTCATCGTCGATGATGGTTCGGATATCACATAATTAATGCAATAGAACGAATATTTTTTCGAGAAATTTTTTCGAGGATGGATCGAAAATCTGAAAGCATCGTTTGTCTATTGATAAAAAAAAATGTTAGGAATTTTTTCTTCTTTAAAAAAAAGGGGAAAATTCTACGTATAAAGATAGGAGATTTAAAACGAAATGTGGATTGGGTTTTTATTATTGTTGCATGTGTTGGCAATACTTTAGTGTGACGCACGATGCATCTCATGAAGACAAGGGAAACAATTAAAGATTATTAATGTTCCGCTTGGTAGCCGATTAACATGAACTCTAATGATTCTCTAATGACTATGTAATTATGAGTAATAGAAAATACGTACGGACGATATTTTTTAATATTCAAGTTATTATTTATCAATTATCAATCTGTGCGATCAAAATTTAACGTAAACTACGAAATAATTTCGATTATTCTTTCAAACACCAATGATTAATCACCTTTAAGATTCTTCTTTTCTTCCAAATACAATTTTAATTCGCTCACGTTTTTTTCATTCGCATTCTTTAAATAATTCATTCATTAGATTTGTTAAAAGCTGAAAAACGCGAAGACGCGCGTTCACATCGATAATAAATGTGATTAAAAATAGATGCTATTATTAAACTCTTGATTAAAATTTTATAATGCCTTTTTATAACTTAGGATAGAATAAAATTGAACGTTTCTATTTCTTTCGCGCGATTCTTGATCCGTTCCCTCTATTATATTTATATCGTATAAACTTTTCATTCTCTTACACGAGGAGAGATTATAAACTAAAGATGAAAGAAACATTTTTTTTTCTGATAAGCATATATTCATCCTCCACTTTATTTGTACGTAACGAAGCGTTTAAAATATAGGTCTCGGACGCCTGTCGACGAGCAACTCGACCATACAACCGACCTGCCTAATATCATTAATTATTGCTGAAATACAAATTACGCGGATGAAATACAGTTTATGCACAAATGTTTACGGAGAAACAGAGATTTATACGAATAATATGAATAAAAGATGTTTCTCTCTCTCTCTCTCTCTCTCCTCCTCAATCCCCTCCCCCCCCTCTCTCCTCGTTCAATTATTTATCTATTTTTTTTATCAACCTATTACGTATCCGAATGATAATTCTATATTTTTTTATAATAATAACAAAAAAAAAAGAATAAAATCACGAATGCATCCGCATTCGATAAATGGTGTCGCACGATTTCTCATAATCTGCTCGAACTTGCTGTTGCAAATTATAACATGCTACGATGTTCTGAAATTACAGTGTGGCGGGAGCCGGGTTACAAGGTACCGGAAGACATAACGGAAAAAGGTAAGCAGTCTTTTGACGAGCCACGAGGCTGACGTTTACGCTTTTGTTTCGAGAGCGCCAGGTGATGCTCACGAAATCAGATTCGCTTCTCACGGGAGGGAGGCAAGCACCGGCTCGTCGACATCTAACACGTCTTCTCTCTGTCCAGCTAAAATGGTGAGACAGCAGAAGAGGGAGGGTGAGAACAAGCCACATATCAAGCGGCCTATGAACGCGTTCATGGTGTGGGCCAAGGACGAGCGTAGGAAAATTTTGAAAGCCTGCCCGGACATGCACAATTCGAACATATCCAAGATACTCGGTGAGTCGTTCGAGCAAATCCTCCTCTCCTCTCTTTCATCTCTCTTTTTTTATATTATATCAATAATAATAACGATAACCGCGCAAAGTTTATCGCCTCCTTTCTTTCCTTTTCTTTTACAAATTGTCTGGGAACAGGAGCTCGATGGAAAGCGATGTCGAATTCCGAGAAACAGCCATACTACGAGGAGCAATCGCGATTGTCGAAGCTGCACATGGAGAAACACCCCGACTACAGGTACAGGCCGCGGCCCAAGCGCACCTGCATAGTGGACGGGAAGAAGATGCGCATATCCGAGTACAAGTCGCTGATGCGGCAACGGCGGCAGGAAATGAGGCAGCTGTGGTGCCGTGACAGCGGGCCAGAGATGAGCTTCTTGTCCCCGGTCGGCTCGGACCTGGCCACGCAACACCATCCGGGCACGGGGGCCGGGCCATCGGCGAGGCCCAGCGTGTCGCCACCTGCGACCATGTTGAACGGCGGCGCGGCCGGGCCCAGCTCCGACCATCCATCCTTCTATTACCCGCAGGACAGCCTGTCGCCCACGGATATGATGAACTTCTCGCCGGAAAACTCGGGATCGATCGGTGGCTACGACGCGAGTCCCCGGCACCACGACGAGGATTGAACCGCGGCTCCGGGTCAGCCGCCATGGCCGCCCGGAGCGTCATCGTCGTCGTCAACAGCAGCAGCAGCAGCAGCAGCGTCCACCAGACTCGGCCACGAGTTGTTCTGGTAAAGCAGAAGGAAAAAGAAAAACGAAAGAAACTTGCGTGAAATACAGATACGATGATATATGAAATGATAGTAGGCCGGATGTATCGAGACGGATAGGAAAGCGAACAATCGGAGGGACGAACGTTCTCGAAAAGGTGACTGAGCGTTTCGAAGCCTCGCCCTTGGAGGTTGTGATATAATAATAAAAAAAAAAAAAACGATTCGATTTATTCTGTGCCATCGTACGACGCGTGGAGGCCCTCCCGCGGATTCGAGCGGCGAGTCCATGCCTTCTTCCTTCGATTAGCCGTCGTCGTGTCGTCGTTCGCGAGGGCCACTTCGTTGCAGCGAGAGATAGTAGTAGTAGTTGTGCAATCGCGCCGCGCCTCTTCTTCGCTTTGGGACAATGCAGAGTCACGCGAGCCCAATGTCCGGGCCAACCGACCCCTCCCCCCCCGTTATCTGTCGAACGAGATTCACGAGACACCGGTGAATGAACGTGAGCTCTGACGAAGGATAAACGCGAGGAGCTTATTATACCGTTACTGCTGGGGGGAGGGGGAGAAGTAGGCGACGGTTGGTCCACGCAGGGGGCTTAAGAACGGGCACGACGGCGGCACGAGGAGTACTATGTGGTGTATTCCGTTGGTGTAATCAAAAGGCGCAAATCTTCGAACGATAAGGCCTGATCGTCGTTAGGTAACGTTCTAGGTAACGAGATTATGCGCGTGAGTAGAATTCTCGAACGTGGGTAACGAACGTCGATTCGCGTCGTGTCAACGTATATATATATATATATGTCGGTATCCATCTCGCGGGTGTTTTCCGTTTTCACGCGGGAGCGCAGAGCAACAAACATATGAAAGCTAGAATTATACATAAAATAAAATAAAATAAATATAAAATAATAAAAAAAAAAAATATATATATATATATATATATATATACACACAATTATATATATATA